GCCCGCCACAGGGAGCAGGTGTGGCTGGGGCAAGGAGGGTGGTCACCGTGAGGCCACTGCCAGCCCCAGCTAAACCCCCCATATGCCCACCACACTCAGCTCCAGCCAGGGGGAAATGGTGCCCTGAACTCAGACCTAAACCCACACCTCGCCTGACCCCAGGGGTCCATAAACAGAGGGCCTCAGTGAGGCGGTGGGAGGGGTCCCGGGAGCATCTACAAAGCGCGCAGCACGTGGCTGAGACCAGGCACACGGAAGTCAGCCTGTGAGAGAAGCAGACGCCCCTGCAGTCGGGGCTCAGACGCACAGGAGACGGCTCTGATGTCAGCGTGTGTACAGAGGAAGTGACACCAAATACCTGACAGAACGGGAAACTCTAAAAACGGAAGAGAAGCAACAGCCCTTTAGGAAGAGGGGCAGCGCTACTTGGTGGGCACGTGTGCAGCCTGGACGCAACAGAAGGTAGAAACAGGGACCTGGAGGATGGATGGGAGGAGCCAGCAGGACCCAGCGTGGGGAGAGGCCACGGTGGGTCAAGAAGACGGAACTGGAAGGTCTACAGGCACTGACCTGGGCCCCAGGAGCAGAGAAAGAGACTGAAAGAAGCAGGCTGGAGTGTCCAGAACGCAGGAAGCTCAGCGCTGCCCAGCAGAATCCAAGGACCCCGGGGCCCAAGCCAAAACGTGCACAAGCCAGCGACAAGGGATGGCTCCTGCGCATCCCAGGAGAGCACGTGGCCCCTCAGACAGCTCGCCAGTGAGACTCAGGGGCCACAGGCAGCACATCATCTGACACAGTGGTCACCGATGGTGGTCTGTGAGGGCCGAAAGGTTGGCGACCGCTGATCTCACACACACATTGAAAAAAAAACTTGCTAAACCAGAATTCCAAACGCTGCAAACAGTCAAGAAGGCAGCAAACGAATACATTCCAGGCCCTGGCCAGTGTGGCTCACTGGGTTGGGCATCGTCCTGTACACTGAAGGTTTGATTCTCGGTCAGGGCATATGCCCAGGTTTCAGCTCGATCCCCAGTGGGAGGTATGGGGGAGGCAGCTGATCGATTTTTGCTCTCACGTCAATGTTTCTCTCCCCCTATCCTTTCTTCTTTCTCAAAACAAAAAATCAAATTAAAAAACACACCAAACTAAACAAAAACAAGTACATCTCAGCTGACAAAGTCCAGCGTTTGCAGCAGCAGACCCTCAGCAAGGGAGCCCTGGAGGAAGCTCTTCAAGTGGGAGGAGAGTGAGGGGCCGAGTTGTAGAGTGAGGAGCAAAACCTGGTGGCCCTATGGAAAGACGCACACACCAACCAGGATGGCGAGGACACACCCAGGGGACATGGGCGGTGGGCAGATTAACGGCCCATCCCCTGGCACCCTGGGCCGCCACACACTGCTGTGGGAACAAGGGGGCATGCTGGGCCCAATAACATGTTCCTCATGGACACTGAGACCGACCTTCACGTGATTTCACGTCTTGAAACATGCTCCTGATTTTCTCCAACCACTGATACGTGTGAGACTCGTTCTTAGCTCACAGGCTGTGTAAAAACGGGCACGTGAGATGGGGGGTAGGGCTGCACATGCCAACTCTGACCCAGTCAGCCCATTCCTGTCCTAGCCGGGTGCCCACAGGACACCAAGTGACCAGAAAGAAAGAGCGACCACACATGCGCCAGAGACAGCACATCCACAGGCTCCATCCACCAGGCCGCCCACGTCACCACGGAACCCTGTGACGACCTCAGGCTCCTCTGTGTAAGTGATGCCCCCATGAAAACTGAAGCAAAGGGATGGACAAAGAGCCACATGCAAAAATGGACAGGCACCACCCCAGAATGATCACCCAGGAGCTACGGTGACACTGGGCGGGCGGCTCCATGCAGGCACCTCCCGTGCCCACGTGGTCATTTTTTTTTTTAATATATTTTATTGATTTGTTACAGAGAGGAAGGGAGAGAGAGGGAAACATCGATGAGAGAGAAACATCGATCAGCTGCCTCCTGCACATCTCCTACTGGGGATGTGTCCGCAACCCAGGTACATGCCCTTGACCGGAATCGAACCCGGGACCTTTCAGTCCACAGGCCGACGCTCTATCCACTCAGCCAAACCGGTTTCGGCCACGTGGTCATTTTTAAAACAACCACTGAAGGGACAGAGGCAGAGTGTACAACCCCCAAAGCAACTGAGTGGAACAGATGACGTTCCAGCTGCATCAGCAAGATGATGAGGCCTGAGATGGGAGGACAGAGGAGGTACCAGGCAAGCGCTAAGATGCGCCTCAACGCAAACCCTCGCCAGTGAGGAGAGGTGCTTCGCCAGGTGATGGCTGTGGAGCGAGCGCAAAAGCAAGGCTGACAGGACCCGCAACGCAAGGAGCACAGGGTCTCCAAGTGACAGTGGACCTCCATCCATAATGAAGCCAGCAAAGAAGGGAGCGCGGGCAGCAACGACCACCAATAGGGTGATGTGGTGGAGGAGACGCGGGGGACAGGAGGATGGGCACCGATGGGAGCTCGGGAGCTGGGAGTGCGACACGGGGGACGGGAATCCCTTCCTGGCTCAGAGTGAGGGCCAGGCCCCAGGGTCTGCTCACAGATGGGGGTGACACCCTACAGAGACAGGCCAGGAGAAGTGGATGGCACAGCTCGTGACCGTGAGCCCAGGGTGCCCACTGAAACCTAGAGGGTGTCTCCCCCCCGCAGGGCCTGGGGTCTTGCTGGCTCCCAAAAGGAGGCACCAAGTGCAGAGGCAGGTGGAAACTGGGGGCGCAGGTACCCCCGAGCCCGGTGCCCACCCCAGCAGCTGGTGGACACCTGGTACCTGTCGAAGGGCAGGGGGCTGCCCAGGAGGCTGGTCACCACGGCCACGCAGTGCTGGGAGGCCAGGACATACACGCTGTGCTGGGCGGACTGCAGCACGTGCTCCTCGCGGGTCTCCTGCAGCCTGGAACGCAGCACACTCATGATCTCGGGCACCTGCGGGCGGGGGGCGCTGGTCAGGCCTGGAAGCAGGCAGCCCGGGGGCCAGGTGCTGTCCATATGGGGTTGGTGGGCAGCCCAGGAGCTGCAGGGCCCCTCGTGGGGCTGGGGCCGAGACGGGAGCCTGGTGCCCTCTGGATCTGTGTGGAGCACTGAGGCCAACAGGCTCTGACATTCTATTTAGGGTGTCCCAGCTTCAGGCGCTCTGACCAAGGCAAAGGCGGGCAGCGGGTGGGGATGCAGGAGAGAGAGGAGAGGCTGACCAATCCCCAGACTGAGGCTGGGATGGGCCAGGAGAGGGAGGGCCGTGGCCCCCACTGCAGAAGCCACCGGTGAGGCAACCAGAGCGAGAAGCCTCCTCAGCACCAGGGGGGCCCTACTGGCCTCCAGCAGGCTCCGCATGGCCTCATCATTCTGGGTCCCCTGCCCTCAGCAGGTGCTGGCCCCGACCGCAGGGACCCCCACGGCATGCTGCACACCTGGAAAACACCGTGGTCTGAGGTGAAAAATGGGGAGACAGAGCTGCGGGGACAGGGCTGCTGGCAGACGGTGCACTCCACCCACCGCTGGGTCCTGGGCAGGGCTGGCCAAGCCACCTGCCCCATGGGACCTCGAGAAGGCGTGGTGTGGCTGACGTGAACCCTCCCAGGCCAGGCCTCGCCTGCTCTTCCATGCAGTGTGTGCATGGGGTCCCCTCTCAAAGGGCTGGTGAACAGCGACACCTCGAGTACAGAACGGGGGCCACTCTCCATGCCCCTTCCCAGAACCTGGGCATGGCCATGTCTCCTGGACCCGACGCCTCTGCTCCCAGCTCGGGCAGCGTGGCAGTGGGAGGTGCTGAGCCTGAGCTGTGCTTCCTGCCCAGGCCTTCTCCCGCCTCCCCAACAACTGAGGTGAGGAGCCTGCTGTGTGGCCCGTCTTGCCCTCTGTTCTTTACAATGTGCTCTCCTTTGCGATCATGGGTCACATGTCACCTGCTAGAACCACATTTTCTGACCTGATGTCAGAGGAAGTGTCCAGGTGTCTCCTAGAGGTCCCCCTGCCAAGCTCTCTCATGCAGGAAGGGAAATGCGGCCCATGTGATCCCCGTGGGCACCAGGCACTAGAGGCCACGTCACTGCAGCTGAGGTGTCAGGAGGCAGATCTGCTAAGGATGAGCCTGAGAGTCAGGAACCCTGCTCGTGTCTGACCCTGAGCTGGAAGGAGATGGCTCGACAGCTTTCCCCCAGGAGCCCAGCAGCTGGCTCTGCATGTGGGGCGCCTGCCTTTGCCAAGAACGGGGTGGTGGGGGGAGACCCAAAGTTATAAAACTCCTAGAAGAAAATGGGGAAAGCTTTATGACCCTGGATTTGGCGATGGTTTCTTTGACACCAACAGCAAAAATAGACATGGAACACATCAAACTTCTATGCATCAAAGGACACAATCAACAGAGTGAAAAGGCAACCTACAGAATGGGGAAACATACTTGCAAGTCGTACACTTGGTAAGGGGCTAACATACAGAATATATAAAGAACTCATACAACTCAACAACAAAATCACACAGCCTGATTTACAAGGAGGAAAAGGACTTGAATAGACATTCCTCCAAAGAAGGCATACAAATGGTCAACACGCCCATGAAAAGACGCTCAGCATCACCTACGGTGAGGGAAATGGAAATCGCAACCACAGGGGAGCCCTGGCCACTGTGGGTCAGCGGTTAGAGCGTTGGCCCGCACCCCACAGGATCTAGAGTTTGATTCCCGCCGGGCAAGGGCATGTACCTGGGTTGCATGTTCAATCCCCGGCCCTGGTGGGGGCACATGTGGGAGGCAACAAATCCACGTGTCTCTCTCACATTGATGTTTCTCTCTCTTCCACGGTCTCTAGAAATCAATGGAAAAAAGTATCCTCGGTAAGGATGGACGAAAAGCCCACAGGAGATGCCACTTCACACTCATCCGAAGGGCTATACAACAAAAGGGCCATAATCAGTGTCCACGAGGATGGAGAGAAATTGGAACCCTCAGGCACTGTTGGTGGGAATGCAAACTGGTGCAACTACTATGGAAAACAGGATGGTGGTTCCTCAAAAAACTCAAAACAGATTTACCATATGACCTGCAATTCCACTCCTGGGTGTCTACCCAAAAGAACAGAAAACGAATGCAAAGAAGATATTTACACACCATGTTCACAGCCTTATTCTTAAAATAGAAGCTAAGAGCTGGAAGCGACCCAAGTGTCTGTCGACAGCTGAAAGGAAAGACACGACATGGAACGCTATGAGTGCACTGGGGCCACCAATGGCCACTGCTTCCAGCTGGCCAGTCCCTCTCCACCTGCCCAGAGCCACAGGACACCTTCCTACTGCTCACATCTGACCTGGAAAAAAACGCAAAATAAAATCCAAACCTTCGCCCAGCAAACCCCGACTGTCACAGCTGTGCCTTTGTCCCAACTTCCTGCCATACTTCCCCTCCCAGGTCCTGAGGCCACCACCACCCCTGCCTGAGTGCCCGTTCCTCTCCAGCCTTACACCACACAGGGCCCTTCTGCTGCTAATCCCCATCAGCAAATTGCCTGCTCACCCTCCCAGAGAAAAAGACATTTGCGACACCCAACAGAAAATTCGTGTCCACAGGTATCACATACCACTGCAAATCAGTGAGAAAGGCCAGACAACCCAGGAGACAGATGGGCCCAGCCTGCTGGGTCGCTGGAGGGACCAGGAAAGGTGTGCAGAAACGCAACTAGAACTCATGGAAAGCCAAGGCACACCCACCAGAAAGGGGCCCACCCTCGCACTCTGGGGGCCACCTGAGACAGGGAGCCTCCAACCTGCAGTCGTTGTGGGGAGTCGCCCAGGCCAGTGTGAACCTCAGCGGCCTCTGGGTGAGCCTGCTGGGGGCCCTCTACGCAGGCGCCTTCGACTCTCAGCCTGAGGCCTCACCAGCTCCCAGCTCCACCCCGCGCAGCCCTGTGCTTCCCGGTTCCTTTCCCCACCTCACTTTCTGAACAGAGTGACTTCTGCCAAACTCTAACCTCAGTCTTCACACAAGAGAATTTGTCCCTATTAGACCCGCAGGGAAAGGGGGTAGAGCAGGGAGCCCCCACTTCCCCCGCCCCTGCCCCACAGGCCCAGACAGCCCGCCCCACCTTCTCCAGCAGCATGCCGCCCCGGTCCTTCAGCAGGCAGTTGATCATGACCGTGGCCGCTCGGGAGCAGTTCTTGTCGGGGTCTCCCAGGCTCTCAAACAAGGTGAGCAAGAGGTTGATGAGCTGATCGGGCGGGAGGCGCTTCGCGATGATCTGGGAAGAGGGCTGTGGTCAGCAGAGCAGAGGAAGGGCTTCCAGACCTAGTGCCTCTGGGCGGGGCCAGCGCCGTTCAGCCTTCAGGTCCCTCCAGCCTCCACACCCTCTTCCTGGCCCTGCGCTGTCAGGAGCTCCTGCCGGGTGCCGGGGGCTATGGCCCCGTCAGAGAAGCCCCAACTCCCCACTGGAGCCTGGTGCTCCCATCCCTGTGCCCCAAGCCCACTGCCCTGCTCTGCACCCCGTCCAGCGCCCTGCACCCCGCGCCCACGATGCAAGTCCCTCCCAGCCCAGACCACGAGCGGCCTCCCTCTGTGGGCGCCTGCAGGCACCTGAGCGATGCTGTGGCAGGCGTGGAAGAGGATGGCGGGGTCGGGGTGCACAAGGCCGTCTTTGAGGGTGAGGAGCCGCTCGGCCACATCGTCCCGGTAGTCACGGGAGAAGCCTGCGGAGGCAGGAGGCACGTGGAGCTGGGCAGGACCTCCCTGGCCACCCGGGGCCCAGACTGCTCCTCATCCCTCCAGCACCTCTGCCCAGCCAGAGGCTCACCCTCGTAGCCCAGCTGGAGGTAGAGCAGGGAGTAGACACAGCTCACGGCCTCCTGGCGGGTGGCAGGCCACAGGTCCGCACACCGTGGGGAGAAGAGGCCGACGAGGAGGCCCAGGTTGTGGAAGGGCACCAGGGCCTGGAGAGGAGGGGTGGGAGGTGCTGTGGGGACACTGGGGCGGGGGGCAGCCAGAGAGGGGAGCTGGGGCCCTGGGAATGTAGGGGGAGGGCAGGTGCTGCCTGTACCAGTTAGGCCCAGCTCAGACCATACACAGTCTACTGGGGCACCTAAGAGGGCCAAGCAGGAGACAAAGATGGAGCCCCACAGGCAGCAGAGGGGGCAGGGCTCTGATGAGTCCTCCAACCCCCATGGGAAACCCCCTCCCCCAGAGGGCAAATCCCACCAGAGGAGGGAAACTGCAGGCCCCTTCACCCTCGCTGGTCCTGGTCCCGTTTTTCAGGGCACTTTCTTCTCTCCTCAAACACTGAGCCTTGAGTCCTGCCCTGGGCCTTTCAACACCAGTTACAACCCCCAACTCACACCCCTCAGCCTTCCTGCCCCCTGCCCCCTTCTGGTCCTGGAGCCACCAGCCTGGGGATTCGTGGGAGGAGGGAGGCTGGAGTATTGGGCAAAGAACCCGGGGGCCAGCTGCTGCTCTGGCGAGGTCAGATGTCTGTTACAGCTGGACGGGGTCCTGTGAAGACCAGGCACGAGAGCCTGAGGGGGAAAGCCTGGCCATGCACACACGGAAGGCAAGAGCCATTGGGAGACCTGGCAGATCTGGCCACATGAAGAATGAGAGCTTGGGCACATTTTTAAAAAATAGTAAAACAGCAAGAGAAAAAGCCTACAATCACCCTGATCGATGGAAAAAAGGCATCTGGCAACCTCGTCTGTGCTCCTGATAAAAGTCCTCATTAAGACCTTGGCCGGGTAGCTCAGTGGGTTGGAGCGCCGTCCCTAATGCCAAGGCTGCAGGTGTGACCCCTGGTCAGCACACATACAAGCAGCATCCAAGGGACGCAGAAATCAGTGGGACAAGTGCAGGGCTCACTCTCTCTCTCCCCTTTTCTCACTCAGATCAATAAATTTCAAAATCAAAGTCCTCATTAAAATATGTGGATGTGTGGAGCATGAGAAAGAGTAAACGTGGCCCAGCAGGTCAAGCCTTGGGCTCAGCAGCGAAACTTCCCAGGAGGGGGTGTCGTCTCGTCGTGTCCCCAGCGTGCTGGATGGAGAAGGGACGAAGGTGCAAGTACCGGGGGAAAGCCAAAGCCCCAGCGTTTGAAAGGGGATATGCAGCCTGGGATGATAATCTGAGAAGCACAGGAAACTCGCTAAAAGCTCATTACAAGTAACAGAGGAGTCTTGCAAACTCCCGTTCCCTCCATAGCAACAATCAGCAGTACTTAGGCCCCGAGAACAGTGACACTGACAACCACCGCTACCCTGGGGAGGGCTGGAGGCGCCCACCCTCAGCCGCTCCTGGTGCAACTACTGTCCTCGGGTCCCGTCACAGCTGCCACAGGAGTGCCAGGGCTGTGCCACAGGAACCCCAAACCACCTGCAGGACGGCCTCGCAGGACACTGGAATTCTGGGAGAGCGCACACACGAGCTCCGAGTGTCTCACCAAACACTGAAATGCACACACTGGCTCTCAGGCCAGCTCCAACCACCTGCGGAGCTGTCCCCGTCCCTGCCTTTTCCAAACATCCCCTGTGGTCAGCTCCGTCTTTGCCTACCTGCTGCTTCTGCCTCCAAAGCCCTCATCTTCTCTACACCCCACTCCCCAGCACGTGTCCCCTCACTTGGGGACCATAATACACATCAGTCCTGGGTGATATGTGGGCTCCGTCAGACTGAACTCCGAGTGGCCAGCCCCGAGGACACTCCTGGCCCTGACCGGCCTTCGTCCACGTCTTCAGAAAGAGCACGGACACTGTCGGTGTGGGATAAGAGGGGGCAGGAGGGCAGCCGACGCAGGCCCCAACCATGGGACCCGGGAATGGGATGCCCAGGAAGGTGGGGGCAACTGTGTGGTCACTGCCTGTTACTCACACTGACGTGCAGGTGCTCCAGGAAGAACTGCAGCAGACAAGCGCTCAGGCCCAGCGCCCGCACCCGCTCGTAGCCCCGCGGGGACTTGATCCACGGGCTCAGGTGCTGGGGAAGATGGGGGTTTCACACAGGTGCCCAGGGGATAGCCCAGGAGGCAGGGGCCTGTGCACAGTGGGCAGGTCAGCGGCCCTGCCAGGCCACCCTTCCAAGCTTCAGGGGCCAACAGGCCACATCAGGGTGGGTCACCACAGCTGCAGCTCAACCCTGTCCTGCTGGCCTGGATCACACACATGGCCCCCCAGGTGGACCCAGAGCTGGACCTACAGAGGGATGGGGAGTTCCCAGGGAGGGAGACAGCATGGCCACCACCTGCCATCCCGGCATCTCGATGGCCCCAGACGATCAGAAGCTCACATCTGGGGCACCTGCAGGGTCTCTGCCTCCCAGCACCATGAGATGAAGGAAATGCAGGAATGGGCTCCAGGCCCCATCTGGGTGAGGGCCCACCCCACCTGCACACCTACCCACAAACCCCAGTTGCAGAAAGCACCAAATGACCCCTGTGCTGCCCTGGGGCAAGGCGGGCCCTGAGAAATAATGGAGGGTTGGCTGCCAGGTGCCCACTCCCCCGGACCGTGCACCTCATTGCACACCTCCACCATGAGCTGCAGGCCCTGGGGGGTCATGTTCCGCCGAAGGATGCTCCTCAGCAGATCCTCAAGGGCGTGCATGGTGTCCAGGTATAGGAACTGGAGGGCGGGAAGGGGGTGCCAGCCCATGAGTGACCACACCGCCCACCGCAGCCTCTCCTCTGCCCCCACAGACATGGGCGGGGGTGAGGGGCACGTGGAGATACCTCCTGGGGACCACCCTCCCCCTCGGGCTCGGGCGGCACAGCCATGACGCTGTGCAGACAGCTGTGGATTAGGTCCGACTGCACCTGCTCTTCCAGCTCAGGCTCCAGGGAGCTGAGGGGTAAGTTAAGGGTGGGGTCTGTCCAGCCACACACACCCTCACGTGACCCTGTGCCCTCACCCCAGGAGCCCATGCCCAGAGGAAAGGATACACCAGGTGGGTGCAGGCGAGCATGGCCTTCTTCCGAATGGGTGTTCGCAAGGAGTCTGGGGGCTCTGCCTTGATGAAGTCCTGAGGGGCAGCCCGTGACAGCCCTGAGCCAAAGCACCGGCTCTCCTCCCCTTCCAGCTCCCATCAGGCTGTGCCAAGTAGGTGCTGGGCCCTCACTGCACATGCCCCAGCCTCCCCAGACCCGCCTCCCCTCGTCCGAGTCAGCACCTTGCAGCCACCCCAGGCACCCCAGACCCGTGCGGCCTCACCATCATCTGGGCCACCAGCTCTGCCTTTCTCGTGAAGTGGAAGGAGCCGGCCTGCGCACTGCTGCAGATGGCCTGGCACACCATGCACACGCTCTGGACAAGGCACAGCTGCAGGCCCGGGTCCTGCAGGGACAGCAGGCTGCAGGAAGCCGCCGACACCTGCTCCCCCGCCACTGCCCCTGGGTCCACAGGGCTGAGCCCATAAAGGAGGCTGCCCACAGCAAGAGGCCAGACCACACGCCCCTGTTCTTAAGGGCTTGTCAAAGCCACAAGGACAAGAGAGCGCCTGTGAAGGCACCTTGAGGCACTCAGCTCTCTGCCTGGCCCAGGCCCTGAGGCCCTGGTCATGGCCGTGGGCAGGCCCTACAGGCAGATGGTGAGCTCTGTCCCGTGTCCCCTGCACCCTGTGGCTGGAAGGGCCCCCGAGGTGGGAGAAGGAAGCACACCCAAGAAGAGCCCCACCAGATGGGGATGCCCCTGCCTGTCCCCCTAAACTGGCCTCTGAGGATTTGGGGAAGGTAGTGAGGACAGCTATCTGGGGGCATGGGTGGAGCCCCCCACTCTAATGGGCTGAGGGGGACGACTCTTAGGACAGCCCCTCCCCCAGCAGCCCCAGGAGAACAGAGCGTCTGTCTTCGAGGCGAGGGCCTGGTGGTCACAGAAGGGCTTCCGGGTTAGTGCCAGCGGTCCCAGCGGGAAACATGTTAGTGAGGCCAGAGGCCACTGTCGCTGGCTCAGAGCTTAGCCCTTTCCAGGAGCAGCTGTGAGGCTGGCCCCGTGAACATTGGGGACTGGAGCCAGGAGAGGGACTGAGGTCCACAGCTCCCTGCCCTGCCTGCCAACCTGCCACCACTACTCAAGGGGCAGAGGCCCTCTCTTCCCACTGCCATCCAGGGCCAGGCCAGAGCGGGGAGGGGCTGCTCCCAGGTACATGAGGGCGCCCCCTGGCTCCTCCCGTGAAGCCCAGCCCAGCCCAGCAGAGAGAGAAAAGCACAGTCCACACTCATCTCCTACACACTGTACCTTGGTCTCTACCTTTATTCCCAGAACCTGAACAACAAAAAGTGAGAGGCATTAAAATGTGCGATGCCAGGTCGTGGCGTCAGTGCCCACCCTGGACGCCCGCCCTGTGCCCACCTTGGTGCTGAAGCACTGAAACATATTCCGCAGGATGTCGGACTCGGCCCTGGCCAGCACCAGCTCACGGGGGGCCTGCGCCGCCACGTGCCCGTAGCACAGGATCAGCGTGCCCTTCACTTTGTCTACGTCATTATCGCTCCGGTCCTGGGCGTGGGGGGCAGCAGGCCTCAATCACACAGTCAGCCCCTCTGCCCCGTCCCGCATCCCACACCCCACACAGGAGGCCTCCCATGCAAGCCCCAAGTCCCCCTGGAAGACGGCAGGGCTGCCAGCAACATCAAAGGCTTAACCGACCACACCAGCCCTAGGGAGAGCCCCTCCATTGGGAACAGCAGGACAAGCCAGATCTAGGTTCTTTGGGCACCAAGGGACAAAGATCAAAGGTCTGAGCAGGGAACAAGGTGGGAGGGTCAAGCAGGAGGAAGCCGAGCCAGGGTCTCTTCTGTCCGTGGGGCCTGCCCACACCTACACACACTCAAGTGTGGGCCAGCCCCGTGCAAGCAGCCCAGCCCTGAGAGTCTGTGACTGGGACAGGCCTCGGGTACAGGCACCCAGTCCTGCTGTAATGGGTTTTGGCAAGAACACAGCCTCTACCGGCCACCAGGGGGCAGAGATGAACAGACAGCCAGGGGAGGCGGCAGCTTTCATCCTGCCACCCAGACTGGGGGAGGGCTGGGTGCCCCTTGTCACCGGCTGAGGGGGAACCCACACTCAGTCGCCCCACCCACGAGGAAGCAGAGGCTGGATGCAGCTCTCCACCCCACCCCTGGCCTGCAGGGCACCCAGAGCCAAGCCGCCCCACCACCCCAGACGCTAGAACCCAGGCCAGTCCCACCAGACCTCCTCCCCGGACCGACTGCTGCACCTTAAAAATGTTGAAGATGCCAATGGATTTTCTGAACACATCCGACCTCACAAAGTCCTCCAGCTGGGCCAGGGTGTCGTCCAGGTGGGAGATGGCACAGATCCCAAAGCAACAGGCCAGGCCCTGGGGAGGTGCACGGGGCACTCACACTGGGCAGGGATAGACAGGGGCTTGGGGGTGAGGACAGGAGCAGCATGCATTATGCATGCACACTGCACACACCATAGGGCTGCATCTGTGCACAGCACACACGTATGCACTCACACTCACTAGTGCCTAAGGGAGGACAGCGAGCACTGCCAGCCAGCCGTGGGCCCAGGGCTTTGGGGGTGGGGGGGTGCTGGCACCTCGCGCTCGGCCTCCTCCTGGTATCTGGCTGTCTCCAGCAGCTCCTGCAGGAGTTTCCTCACCACGTCCTTACTGGAAGCAGCACCCAGGGTGGTCCCCACACATTTGTACAGGAAGTTCTGCAGCAAACCAGGGCGTGCACTGTGCGGGTGCCGGTGGAGGGCGGCCCGGCACTGCCAGCCAACGTGGGAGGGGCTGTTGGGAACCCGTGGTTCTGGCCACTGCCTGAGCGGGGAGTCTCCAGCCACCAGCCACTACGAGGCGGCTCATAGGCCTTCTCTTCTCAGCTCTGCCAGAGCCACAAGGGCCCAGAGGTGGGCTCAGGCACCAAGTGACACAGAATCTAAGCCTAGGAACTTGGACTGAAGGACTATGCCCAGAAAACCTCAGCAGGCTATTCGCCCCCACTTTCCCAGGGTGCCCCCGACCTGGGCACCTTCTCTTGGACCCCTCTCATATCTTCCCCTGGGGCTTCCTCCCCCCACACACACCTTCTCCTGGGGCTCCCCCCGCCCGCACCTTCTCCTGGGGCTTCCTCCCCCCCGCACCTTCTCCTGGGGCATCCCGTTGTAGCAGGGTAGCTGCTTGCACATCTCCAGGCTCAGCTGGCAGATCCATGTGTTGTCAGACACGACAGCAAGACTGTCCCGAAGGAACTGCAGGCAGGAGCAACAGGGAGGCTGGGAACTTGGCCTCCCAAACAGGCTGGGGAGGGTGGTCCTGTGCCATGGTTCTGAATGGTGGTAGGTGACCCTCGAGTCCAGGCAGACATGCAATGAGTTAGGGTGCAGACAGCTCTGGGCCAGGCAATGGAAGACAGAAGGCGCCGTGGCCAGGCAGCTCAAAGCCCCTGTAATCTGGCTGTCAGAGCAGGACGGCAACCTGTGACAGTCCTCACCCCAGACACCCATCTGTCCCTCCCCCAGGCAGGCCACTCAGTCAAGGCAGGTGTCACAACCCTAGAAAGTTACAGCCCCCCAGCTCTCCCCACCCAGGCTGGCCACACCTCAGTCTCTTCTCCGTTCTCTCACCACCAGCAGCTTTTCCTCCCATTCCTTCTGTGACAGGGTCTTCGCAGTATGTTCTGCAATGACAACCACCAGTCAGCCTGCCAGGCAGGACCGTCACACAGACAAGAATGAAGTGTTCAGAACACCCAGCCCAGGCCCCGCCCAGCACCCCCACCTGACTCAGGCCCCTCCCA